AATTGATAACCTGATCCCATGGAAGATATGACATTTTGAGAAATATTGTATGTCTCCTATGCAGACAAAAGTCAAGGTTAAGCGAAATATGTCTGTTTTTTAACGAATAGCACCGTGAGTTAGTTAAGATGATTAAAATATATGCTATAATTACTTCTTAAATTTTGAAACTATTTTATACACTTATGTGAATCTTAGTCGCATTTAAATTCAGCTCATAACGGTTGCATACACGATCGTGTGTAAAATATGATGAAATAAACCAGAAAACAAATTAAAGCTTTTAAATTTATGCGGGTCTCTCATTATAGGACGATGCGATATTATTACTACATTATGAAGACTTTTCTTGGTTTCCCTCTACAGTCATTACTAAATATAATACAAACATAAGATTAAAATTTCTTTTTTGCTAAGACACTCACATAGATTATGACATTATACCAAAGAGCATGTTCATATCAATTGGACACAAAATGAATGAAAAAAAAATGTTTCTTTATTAAACAAGTACTAGTTTAAGTTTCTAAGTTTATAATTCTACATTAACACGTGTTGGCATATCTACCAGAAAAGTATTTCCTCGTGGACAACATCCCATACCAGTCGAGGAGTGTACATTTTTTCGCTTAGTGTTTGCATGTGTATTTGTTTGGCATCATCTGTACCTCTCCATGAACCAGTATTTCACTGTATCAGGAAAATACTAACGACATTTTTATGATGTCTTACAGCAGTAACCAATACATTAATAATTCAAATAATTCAAATAATAATAATAATTCAAATAATAATTCAAAAACAAATAATAATAATAAAAATAATAATAATGATGATGATGATGATGATGATGATGATGATGATGATGATATTGATTACTACTTAAAGGAATAGGTAAGCTTGTACATTTAAACACATGGTATGGATACACCTCGTGTATCTAAAGTTATTAATATATGATGATACCACAATGACTACAAATCTCTTTTCGTGATTCACCGTCTGTATATGATAATAAGAATATTAATATACATTGCAGAGGCACATGTTGGATGCACAATGGTTTTAAAGGCTTGCTGGAAGCAACTCGTTTACTGCTGTAGGAGAGCTACTTCAAAGTCGCGATACTGAGGATGTAATGTAATTAAACGCTTACAGTTAGTTTTGTTTCCACCAAAGACCTTTAGAAAAAAAACTACTACTACTACTTCTACTACTACTACTACTACTACTACTACTACTACTACTACTACTACTTCCACCAACAACAACAACAACCCGAACAGCACTACTACTACTACTACTTTGAAAATATATGGTAAACTAAACTTAAATTTTCCACGTAAGAACTGTCAATATTACTTTTATAAATATTTGCGTATCGCACGATTGAAGCGCAAACGCGTTTGGCATACCATGTTCCACGTCACGACTCACACTGAAGAAACATTTTGGAATTTGGACAACAGGCTTGGCAATTTACGTTGTCGTCATCAAGGATTGAGAAACTAAGTCGTGGTGCCCAGATCCATTGCAAATGTATAAAAATAAAATAAACGGTCGACGAAGATCATCCCCAAGGCTCGGCAATGTCTGTAATACTATGTTATAACCTCACTAAAAAGTCACGAATGTAAACGAAACATTATTTCATTGACAGTTAACGAAGAAAGTAAACACACTCAGTAACAGTAATAAATAATTGATAATACAGCACATATAAACATAACATACTTACATTTGCACATAAAAGATAAAAGAAACAAAAAAAACCCAAACATTTATTCTACCTTTTTCATATACCAGTATACATCTTCTTCTCAACGTTATTTCAAGTTGTGTTGGTTTGGTTTGTAATAGTTTTGCAGTCCTTGTTATAATAATACCCCAGTGGGCTGTTGTACTCAGTTTGTATGAGTGAATGTACATAACGTCACGAACAATTTGTATGCATGACAAGGGATTGATCATAAATAGACACAACTGTACCTTTTTCACGCATATGGGTCTACAGTTCAGGCATACACGGCATATAGAACACACCTAGTTCTGTGAAAATAGCTTGTCGGGGTATGTCCACTGTGTCAAGTGAAAGGTTTTCTTTGCGCGTACTATAAAACGTATGGCAGGCGTTATATAAACCTAGCAACCTCTTAGCTAACATATTGGTCCATAAAAATAATCTGAATAGGCATCAGAGGGTGGCGGCATATGTTGACAATGACAGAAATTTATAGTCTGAGGTGAGGTGAAGAGAGGGTTAACATCGCGTTCAACATTATTTCATGTATAGAACGACGTGCATGCACGAGTGTGTGCCACTGAGCTACCACGCCGCAGTTTAACATGGATATGTCACTCAGACACATTATACTGACTCCGAGCAGGCTAGTCTTGATTTTATCCCCTTAATCCCGAGCGCCAGACAGGGTAACCTTTCGGTATTGCGCGGCCAGATTGGGGATCGAACCATCAAACTCCAGCTCTCTTGACAGATGCTGCACAACCCATTGAGCTAGTCTAAATTACATAAAGCGTCTTGCAATGTTTTGCCTGGTTGTTATTTTGATTACAGCCAAGGCAACATGCTTTAAATGTAATGTTGAAAGGGAAATGGGAGTTCCACGAAGCAGCAGTCAACCAATGCATCTATGGTAGGGTGCGTGGACAAACGCCATTGGGATCGGAATGAGCTCTCCAAGATGACAAAAACAAAATAACACATTTGATGGATTTCCGGTAATCAAAAGAGGGATACGGATATTAATGTCATTATTGTATACTTGAAGTATGTCCCTAAATTTACAATGACATTGTGCAAAGACGAAAAACAATATTTATACCTTGAGTTGATTAAACTTCTCCCATTGATCTCAATACTTCCTGGTCATTGAACAAGTGTGACACCTGTGTAGCAAGCTGGTGGGACAAGGTGAAATGATGCAAATATGTGAAGAGAGAGAGAGAGAGAGAGAGAGAGAGAGAGAGAGAGAGAGAGAGAGAGAGAGAAGGGGGGGGGGGGGGTAATGTTTCAATATCAACCTCTTGTACTGCATTTCCTTAAATGGGAGCGAAACATGTTTCATTAATGTTGTATACCTGCAACTCCGTGTCAGGGGCCAATACCAGGACCATTGGATGACTTACAAAAAGTGTAATTAATTTCATTGTGCTCATAAACACGTGAAACGTAGCAGCACACAACAGAGCACATACAGAAACAATTATTACTCATGGATAACATCAAGCCAAATCCAACACATGCCGCCGCCATTTTAATTGTAGTTTGTATTGATTGAGACAATGTGTCGCACAAAGTCAGATTCTACGTTTTACGTATTTTATTAACAGCTGGTGTGCAGTTTTTATCCCACTTCGCACATCGTATCACCTCTGTTAAACACTGTGTTTGTGCCACCCAATTAAGTACCGAGCAAGATTCCAATCACTGTTCATCTTCCCTCCATTCCTCGTGTAACGATATTATCTTCCAACAGTATGGCACATTCATGTTGATCTATTATAAAGAGTCTTTCATTAAAATCCTTTGGCCAAATATCATTTTCTTTTCTTTTTTCTCATCTGGCAGTTCTTTGTGCAAATATTATTTGTGAATTTAGCGGTTTTATTAATCACAATATAGGTTTTGTCGTCAGAAGTAAAAGTCCGCGTATTAATTTAATCAAATTGGAATTGACACAGAAGGATTGATAAATCAATGGATATTCCCTTTATTGGTTACAGAATTAAAGCGTAGTCTAATTCAGTTCGTGTACATGCTACGGCAGGAATCTGCTCACGCAGGTGACACAAACGAAATATTCACATGAAATGAAATGTTCCAAGCATTATAAAACAAAGCTTTATAAAAGATGGACAAAATAGCTATGGTCAGATAACAATGTAGCTGGAGTAGCCATAGAGATAGGAACATGTGTCACATCATTAATGCATGCAGACGTCTCTATGACGATCGCCTGAATAGGATGCAGTCGAGTGTATTTAACTTGATAATTTGAAATCCTAAACACATCGCCTTAACTGTATATTAATATCAGACAGAGCATGAATACATAATTCCATGTTTAAAATATGAAGAATATTACACCAATGAATTATATTACTGACTCATACAGAAATATCATAATTACTTCTTTGTATTTGTTTCGGTTTTTTACAATACGTCATTTAATATACTCTTTCAATTATTTTAAAACATAAAGGGGATCCCTATTTTGGCATATACTTATTTAGATATAGAAATGGCATTCGTTTAGTCAGTATTCTTAAGTTAATGATGAGATGAGGCATTTTATGTTTGCCACAACATATTTTCCATTGATATATTCTTTAAAATACGTGTGATAAAAAAATGCTAGATCTTATCAAAATGAAACGAATGATTTGATATGGACATGTTAGTGTGGTTGCCATGGCACCGCGGTGTCAAATAGGTCAGACAGTAACATTCATTCACAGAAAATAGCAAACGCAGCTATTGACAAAGTGATTTCTTCAAAGCAAGATAGTTCAAGTTTAAGTTTTCTGCACAATATACCGGACTGAAGGACATGAAGAGTACAAATTGCATAATTAACCGTGTACTCGATACAACCTCAATATCTAAATACAAACAAACTTGTGGCCGCAACCTCAGTTTGATAAAAGGCCTCTGTAGAGGAAGCCACGGAGAGCATCAAATGAAGCATAAATGAAATCAAGTTCAAACATTTGAAAAAAATCAAATTATTAAAACGGAATACGAAACACTCTTAAACAAAAAGTATAACAGTTGTCCCAAGGCGATATTATTCCAGCTATCGCTCCATGTGACAACGAAACAAGTTGTTCTGACAAATGACAATGTTCATCAAAATACAACATGCATCATCAATCAGTACTACATTACATGGACTGGGCTGACATTTATGTAAAAGAAAATCCCAAACACTCCAAAATACACATCGACAATGCCCCTTTAAAAAAGTGTAAAAACTTACCGTACTGGTTAGACAGAGGCAAAGTTTGCAACGGGTTTTCTTCTGGGAGTAGCATTTATAGACCGAATCTTGAAAAAATAGAAGATAAGTCTTTTTGTCAGGAGAACAGATCAGCTCCTACACGGAACAAGTTCACGAGCCGAGAAATCCGTGGTCAGACGGAGAAATCCACAGGTTGCCGTACGATCAGCTGATGTGAGTAGAGAGACTGCTGTCGTATTATATAACGGTTCCCTAGATTTCTACTACTGTGAAGCTAGACCGTCTTCCTTGGGTGTCTCGGCGAGACTGAGTTCCACGTCCCCTGTCGCTGTAAGACTAGGGCTGCACAATGCACGGATGCACGTCTATCGCGTAGGCCAGCCGACAAGTACTGCAACGAGGCTTGGCCCGAGGCTGATTGTACTTCCTAGCTGTAACACTGACACACTGTTATACTGACACACTGACACACTTAACTGGCCGTGCGAGGAGGCGCACGCAGCCTACCGGCGGTGTTGATAACAGGTCACGAGGCAGTGTCGATGGCAGCTGGTCGCAATGGGCGATCGCGATTGACAACTATTGTGATCGGTATCCAAGCCTTGCGTACGAACTTATTGGCAGGGTTATAGAAATTCAAATATGATATGATACAGATTTGCGTTCACTGTTACGCCGGTTATTCGGATAGATATTCGAATGTAACATAACAGCTATCTATCTATCTATCTATCTATCTATCTATCTATCTATCTACTTATCATCCATGTAATCTGGATCTGCATCTGTCTTTTATACTCTACATATAGTGTAGTTCCACAAGCTGTTTCTACATCTGTTTTTATTCTTTTTGTCCATCAATCAATATGCATGCTTTGTCCTTCTGCTTATCTCACATTCTACCTCTCTAGTATCTCCCTAGGTATATTTGTCTATTTATGTATCTACATTTATAGCGGTGCATCTGTACGTCGTCCTGTCTATCCGATTATCGTCAGTCAGTTTGCCATCGTTTTGTCAGTTAGCCTCAACCAAACACCCTTTCTTCTATTTGTCCGTCCATCCACTCATACGGCTGTGCGACATGTGCACACGTCAGACACTAAGAATGGCTATCGGTTCCATGGTTCATTATGTATGCTCTGTCATGCTTCAATGCCATTTCATTGCCCTATTAACTACACTAATATAAGGTTTTCTCGGTTACATAGAAAGTGCATCATTTAAGCACGGTCACATCTTGAAAATGAATTGTGGGAACTGGCATACATTTTTGATGACACATCTTATCAGTGAAAAAAACTATTAAAAAATCAATGCTGAACGTTCATGGTATGGTAGTTTATAATTGTCTCTCTGAAATTCTATGGTATGAACGTTCATGGTATGGTAGTTTATAGTTGTCTCTCTGACGTCCTATAGTATGAACGTTCATGGTATGGTAGTTTATAGTTGTCTCTCTGACGTCCTATAGTATGAACGTTCATGGTATGGTAGTTTATAGTTGTCTCTCTGAAGTCCTATAGTATGAACGTTCATGGTATGGTAGTTTAAAGTTGTCTCCCTGAAGTCCTATGGTATGGACGTTCATGGTATAGTAGTTTATAGTAGTCTCTCTAAAGTCCTATGGTATGGACGTTCATGGTATGGTAGTTTATAGTAGTCTCTCTGAAGTGTTACGGCGTGATCATTTACAGCAATCTGTATGCAGTTTTATTCCATTCATGACGGAAAAATCGAAAGAAAACCAAACATATAAAAATAATGGAATTTACGCTAAGTTTATGTTACAGTTGTCGAATCTACACCTGACAAACCAATGAACGGGTTTCCTCGCCCGTCGGAGTACAGTCACCCAGTTACAATATGCGAACCATCAGATTCTACGACAAGGCACGTCACTGAAGCGTTAAACATAATCTAATGCTAACAGTATTTAATCACATAGTTACAAGCTGCCATTTTCCCGAATAAAGCACAGTGAATATTAATGTGTGGCAAGTACTATGCTGGCCGAGCCGCAGTATATAGACACGTTATTATCTTGTGCATCATATCAGGTTGCTTTCTTGATAAAATGGAATATATATTATTTGGAATTCAATCGCATATTATATAAAATTAAAATAAGATTTACTAACGTTAGAGGAAAAGTATTTATCAAATCTACAGGTTTGTTAGTTTCTCACATTCGATATTAAACACTATGTAAGAGAAAATGATAACTTTATCACTTGCATTGAGATAATTTCCTACATATCATCGGTGGAATAAATAAGTTGAATATATATCTACCCTCGGAAAGTAAAGAAGGAACAATAGAGAGAGGGAGAGAGAGAGGGAGAGACGAAAGGAGAGAGGGGTGGGTTGGGGGGACAGAGAGGAAGAGATATATATATAGTAATACTATTGTAATAATTAAATAAGTGGAGTAAAATTGAACACATTTTTAATTGGCTAGCGAATTCAACTCGTACCTCGTACGAGTCTCATCAGGCCATAACTGAATAACGGACATGAAGTAGCAACATATAGTTACGTGACGTCATAACATTTAGGAGAACCATGACGTCACAATACCAGGGTGACAATGGACAAATAGTTTACGCCTTTACATTTAACTTAGGCGCGTATTTATGAATGAAATATTGCTCTTTTTGAAACAATGTAGGTTCAAGATAAAAATTTAGCTTATATAGCGGGAAAACTAAAAAGTTGCCGCCTCCACATGTATCTAAATGTTCACTGAGTGGAATCGTGCGGTTGTGCCGCTGCTTTATTTGTGAACGGTGAAGATTCATTCTTCTTTTTAATTTAAGTTCTGTCTATATATATTTATAGTTACGACTTACCCAGCAGATGGCTTAGCTGTCGTCATTGATGTGTGATGTATTGCCATGATAGAGCAAATGCTGAAAATACAAAGCCATGATTTACTCAAGGTTGATTCATCCCATATGCTACACGTTAACATCCCAGACTGTTTATGTATTGGTAAGCACAGCCAGCGCACTATAAACTCAATATTCATACGACTCATACAAGTACAATTACCAATCTGTATGCATTGCTACAACCTAAATGTAGGTCAGAATAATTATAAGTATAACTATAAATATCAATATTCACGTTTAAAACCATCAGTTCCAACACTACTTACCGAATGAGTATGGTTTTACCTCGTTTTCATCATTATTCATATCGTGCCGTGTAGCAATGTATAGAATCGAACCAAGGGTCACGGCGAACCATCGAACTTTATAAAGACTAATCTACCCAACTGTCCCATTTCGAACAGTAACTTGAAATGGATCAAAATGATTTTATAGGAACATTTATATCCTTTGAGCTATTTAATCTTACCGAGCCTTGTTTGTTTGTTTGTTTATCGCTGCACTCAGCAATAGTCTACCTGTATGACGGAGGTCTGTACACAATCGACTCTGGACCAGACAATCCAGTAATTGATATCATGAGCATCGATTCACGCAATTTGGATAAGGCGACATGCATCAACCAAGTCAGCGTGCCTGACCACCCAATCCCGTTAGTCGCCTCGTACGGCAAGCACGGGTTGCTGATGACCTTGTCTAACCCGGATCGTCACGGGTTTTACCAAGTCTTGAGTGTCCAGTAGTCTAGAGTGCCAACATATGCTAAATAGAGTCCAGTCCCTTATTCGGATCTACAGATCGTTTGTCAACACTAATTCATTCCTGTCGGTTAAATAAATGATTGAATGATTGAGTCTTTCTCGTTTAACGCCGCGCTCGACAAGCATCAAAGTTGTAAAATTGTATTACCTTGTAGGCAGAGAAGAAGAGCGTACACCTGTTAAACGAAGAAATCACTTAAAAGTTGTTAATCCGAATGACTTCCTAAGCAACGGTCCAACCAAACGGATAAATGTATAAGATTTTTGAGGTCCTAACGGATGCTTTGTGCGCACATATATTCTTGGTAAAAGATAGAAGTAGAGGGGAATGTCCGAGTAACTCTCCATTCCTTAAAAATAACGGAGCAGAGGCCCCGCAGGGTCCGAGGCCCATTATTTTTAAGGAATGGAGAGTTACGAGGATATTCCCCTACTTAAAACTCATCCCTACTTTTACACTTTGACAAACTATTTTGTAGTTGAAAATATTTGAAAAATAAACCAGAACTCTTTGTTGTCTGTATTTTTAATTCGTGAGTTGCCCTTAGGTGATGCACGAGAAATGCGTTCTCTGCGGCTGTTTCACGTGCGCCAAGTTCCGTCGCGAGCTGACATTTACAATGCATGGTACACGGCTCTTCATAATTTCGTTGGGTCCTAAACTAGTATTTATCAATCGCTTGCACATTGTTAATACATGCTGATGGGTATAATAGGAAATATAGAGCCCCGAACAAGCGATATTTATATTACCTAATTTGTTTTTTCTCGTCAAAGGTTTATCTAACTATCTATAAATATGAACATTCTTGTGGGTACCCTGCTCTAACATAAAATATATACATATTATTTTGAGCTTTTAAGCATTATGTAAAATTATGAAAATATTGAATGGTTAATTTCACATAATGCCTTCATGTGCCGCAGTAGCTGAGATTGACAATTACCCGTTTTCAAATCTATACCCGATGCGGGTTCGAACCCCGATGGCGACACATGTTTCCGGAATCAGAATGAAAATATTCACTTGTAAATAAGTGTAAAAAATATTTCCGTCTGTTCCGAGTGGAAATTAATTCAAATGTTGCTTCAAGATATTGTACAGTTGACAAGCAACTCTCCATTCCTGAAAAATCATGGAGCGTTCAAACAATGGAAAGACGTCACAACGCCTCTGATAACCACTGACAATGACTCACTGAGTTGTCCCTGTCAGTTTGGTTAAATTAGCACTTCGTATACGATAAGAAACCCACGAATCAGTCCATGAGACTAAAACGTGTGAATACGTTTCACACGTTTTTGAAACAATACGTTCGACTGCTCACATAGATAAAATTTGCACGACATGATTTTTGTTCTTTCTTCACTAAATGGGGTCCTTATTATGTTTCTAGGTTCTAGCAAATTAAACCAAATAACAAAGCTATGTACACTCCCTAACGACCTAGTAGTTGTAGGATCCTCGTAGTGGCAGGAGCCTAGAAGAGGCAGGATTCTCGTAGTGGCAGGATCCTAGAAGAGGCAGGATCCTAGAAGTCGCAGTATCCTCGGAGTGGCAGGATCGTCGTAGTGGCAGGATCCTAGAAGTGGCAGGATCCTAGAAGTGGCAGGATCCTCGTAGTGGCAGGATCCTCGTAGTGGCAGGATCCTAGAAGTGGCAGATCCTCGTAGTGGCAGGATCCTAGAAATGGCAGGATCCTAGAAGTGGCAGTATCCTCGTAGCGG